TGTCACCTCTGGATTTTTTCCAGGGATTGCCCCTAGAATTCTGCAGGGACACGGCCCTATCCCTGGTCACAGATGCCCCTTCCAGCGCAAGGGGCAGTCCCTATGGCACTTAGAAGAGGCCCTAGATCCCCCCAGGGACGACTTTTTATCCCTTGCTCATGCAGGGTCATGCAGGGTTCCAGTCCCTACCCCTAAGCTCCTTTTGGTGGTGTGATTTGCGCACGCGCCCCTGCCCCTGGCCATGGAGATGTCATGTGACCAGCGCTTGTACCCCTGCCCCTAGTCAAGGAGCTGTCACCTGACCAGTGCCGGCGCCCCTGCCCCTGGCCATGGAGATGTCATGTGACCAGCGCTTGTACCCCTACCCCTGGCAGTGGAATAGTCATGTGATCAGCACTTGCACCCCTACCCCTGAGGGTGGAGATCATGTGACTGGCGCCCTGGCCTCTACCCCTGGCTGTGATGCTGTCACGTGACCAGCGCTCTGGCCCCTCCCCCTGGCTCACAACATCTCACAATAGATGGGGGAATGGAATGGAACATTTACAGTGTAGTGGGTGGAGGAAAAGAGGGTGGGGGTACTTGCCACAACAGTGAACTACTTACATGTCATCCTGTGAAAACTTCCTCAAGCAGCAGGGAATGCCAGCTCAAATTGCCTCCTCTCTGGGATGTAGATTAGGCCTGCATAAGGACCTTTGCCTCCAGCAGGCAGAACAATGCCTTGCCACTTGTCCTCCACCTTGCTGATTACCATGATGGACTGCTTGAAGTGACCTGCTACAGCCTCCATCATGATCTTGTCCTTAGCTGCAGTGCCATGAAAGGTAGCCACAAGATGCTTGATCCTAGAATCACTGCCGAGGGGATGACTGACTTCAAGAAACAAGTCAGGGTTCTCTTTGAAGTACTTGCTAGCCCTGTTCTTTACCTCCAAAGCCCGGTTCTGGTCCTGGAACAGGTACATTGCCATGGCCACATAGAGACTGTTGTGACCATCCTTGATGCCCTTGGTGTATATGATGCCAGGCAGGATGGGCTTTTGTATCTTCATCCCTTCCCATCCAGGGTTTGGGAGGAGGATAGAGGCATGGATGGGATGGACAACTGACCTTGCATCAACCACCTCAGGCTCCATCATACTTTGTCCTGCCCCTACCTTGCTCTTCTTGGGATCAAAGCCTTCCAGGACACCACCTGACCTTCTCTTCCTTGTCAGTGCGCCTGGAGTGTCTGGCTGCTGGTGGCTGATGTCTTCTGTTGGCATCCACTCAGACGCACCACCAGAGCTTGTCTCATCACCCAGATCATCTAGGTCATCCAGCTCATCACCCTCTCCCTCTACTGCTTTGTTGTCCTTGCTCTTGGGAGATGGCAGTGGCTCCTGGGTGACTCTGTTTGGCCTTGGACTTAGCTCTTCCTCCTCAGAGTCCTCTTCTTCCTCCTCCTCCTCTTCCTGTGGCACTTTGATGCCCAAGCCATCAGGTACATCTGGTGGAAACTTCCCCTGCCTCACCATCACCTCAAACTGCTCCTTGGCAGATGACATGCCCATCTTGTAGGTGCACTTCTTTGTGTTTCTGCAGGAGAACCTGAACTGAGCCTTGCCACCATCCAGCACAAAGGCTGGAGCTTAGGGTTAGGGTTAGGGTTAGGGTTAGGGTTAGGGTTAGGGTTAGGGTTAGGGTTAGGGTTAG